TACGACAATTTCTGACAGCATACTATAAAACTTGTAAGGATCCAATAGGATCAAACAGTGATAGTCACACTTGAGCAACCAATCAGTCATCACACTGCTTTTCATCTGTTGTTTAGTTCAAAAATGTGAGCTCAAATTCAAACCAACGGCTCAAAAACCAGTTGAATACAAGTATGGCCCACGATCTGTTGCCGCTGGTGATTTTGACAATGACACATGTTTGGATATGGTTATTGCTCATCATATAGTTAACACGATAACTGTTTATCTTGGATATGGTAATGGCACTTTCAAAAGTCCAATTTCATATTCAACTGGTTCCTACTCAAGTCCTTACATGGTCACAGTTGGTTATTTCAACAACGATTCTTACTTGGATATTGCAGTAGCAAATTTTGGCACTAACAATATCGTTATCTTTCGTGGATTTGGGAATGGATCTTTCGCAAATCAAACAGAACTTTCAACAGGCTCCTCTCGTCCAACAGCGATTATCGGTGCTCATTTCAACAATGACACACTACTTGATATTGCCATAGCCAATTACGGAAACCACAGTATCAGTATACTCTATCAATATGGAAATGGAAGTTTTTCGCTTCCAATTACATATCCGGCAGGTTACGATTCTTTTCCGTCCTCAATAGCTGCTGGAGATTTCAATAATGACAACTATTTAGACCTCGCCATTGCCAATTATGGCACTAACAATATTGTGATACTTTTTGGAAATAGCAACAGCACTTTTGCAAAGCAAATTACCATCTCAACTGGCATTGATTCTCAACCATACTCCATTGTCGTTGGTGATTTCAATGCAGACAACTTTCTCGATATCGCTATCGCTAATTCTAGAAGTCATGAAGTAGGTGTGCTCCTAAATAATGGTAATGAAACTTTCGCTAATCAAGACAACTATTCCATCAATTCTGCTTCTCCAATTGCCATTTGGGTAGGAGACTTCAATCAAGATAATCGATTGGACATAATCACCACGAATAAAGGCGCTGACAATATAGCCATACTTCTTGGATATGGAACCGGTAGTTTTAAAAATGCAACCATGAATTTAACTGGAGCTATTTCATCGATTTCAGTTGCCGTAGGTGATTTCGACAAGGACCACCGATTAGATATTGTCGTTGTAAACAATGATACTGGTGCCATTGATATTCTTGTTGGACGTTACGAAAGCTTTCAAAATCAAATAAGATATTCAACTGGCTCTAATCCATCATCTGTAGCTATTGGTGATGTCAACAACGACACTCGACTAGATATCATTGTCGCCAATGAGTTGAGCGATGATGTGAGTATCCTTCTTGGATATGGAAACGGTTCTTTTGAAAATCAAACAAGGTATTTAGTTGGCTCTTCTCCACAATCTGTAGCTATTGGTGATGTCAACAATGACACTCGACTAGATATCGTTGTTGCCAATTCGTGGAGCGATGATGTGAGTGTCCTTCTTGGATATGGAAATGGTTCTTTTGCAAAAGAAACAAGATATTTAGTTGGCTCTTCTCCATCATCTGTAACTGTTGGTGATTTCAACAATGACACTCGACTGGATATCGTTGTCGGCAATTATTGGAGCAATGATGTGAGTATCCTTCTTGGATATGGAAACGGTTATTTTGAAAATCAAACAAGGTATTCAGTTGGCTCTTCTCCACGATCTGTAGCTATTGGTGATGTCAACAATGACACTCGACTAGATATCGTTGTTGCCAATTGGGGGAGCAATGATGTGAGTGCCCTTCTTGGATATGGAAATGGTTCTTTTGCAAAAGAAACAAGATATTCAGTTGGCTCTCTGCCATCATCTGTAACTGTTGGTGATTTCAACAATGACACTCGACTGGATATCGTTGTCGGCAATTATTGGAGCAATGATGTGAGTATCCTTCTTGGATATGGAAACGGTTATTTTGAAAATCAAAAAAGTTATTCAGTTGACTTTTATCCATCATCTGTAGCTATTGGTGATGTTAACAACGACACTCGACTAGATATCGTTGTCGCCAATCAGGGTAACGATTATGTGAGTGTCCTGCTGCAATATAACAGAGGAGCGATTACATATGCAATGACCTTGGCACCTGGTGGTGGTTCTAGCCTACGATGTGTAGTCATTAATGATTTGAACAATGACACTAATCTCGATATCGTCTTAGCTAATTATGGCACTAATAATGTCGGCGTCCTTTTTGGATATGGGAATGGTAGTTTTGAAAATCAAATGATGCTCAACACTGGCACGAATTCTCATCCGATTTCTATAGCAGTTGGGGACTTCAATGGTGACCGTGAAGTGGATATTGCTGTGGCCAATGATGGTACAAAGCATGTAGATATGATGCTTGGAAATGGACAGGGAAAATTTGCAATTCAAACAAGTTATGAAATTGGTTTTGATACACCTCCGTTAGTTATGGCTTCTGGTGATTTTAATAATGACGCACGATCGGAGATTAGACTGTACATATATGATGTCATCGAGTTAAAGCTCAATATTGCTACCCTTTGTTCCTTAGATTGATTTGTCACTATTCTGAACTCTTCTCACATAGTTCTGTATTTTCCGAGCAATACTATCAATTTATGCATAATGTGTGAGGCATTTAACAATAATTGATATGCCAGAGTTTTATATCGCTCTGACTATGCTTATAGACTCACTACGATCTAAGGGAAGGCGGTTTTCAAATTGCTACATTAACCCAATTGAATAGATCGAAATTTTTTTTATATTCACCGTAGAGTGAATCAAGCGTATCATGAACGGCAATACTAATGGTTGCATGTATCTGAGTCATTACTAGTTACATTTTTTGAAATGATGTTGACGAAGTTCCAAAAGTATGAAACACTGATTATTGTTGAATTTATACGAAAGATTCACATTAGCATTATTTCTTGAGAGTAATTCCAGCAGATGAACTATTTGAGAGCTGTATGCATAATTGTTCTATAAATTGAAGAACAATTTGAACAAGATTCTTTTTCACTTTTGTTGATAGATTAGTTGCAAAATACAATATGTCATAAAAACCACACTTGAGAAACTTTTTACATACCAAGACTATTTTTACTGTTAATAACCTTTTTTTAGTCTTCAAATTGCAGATTTACAAATGACCAACCTTATAAACTGTCATAGTTAATTTTATCCCTCTCGCACTAAAGCACATTTCATCACGTAAACGACATCGACTAAGAGAAAAGACAATTTTGAAATTTATGAGTATCGATCATCATTGAACAACATGCTCAGAATTATGTTGGTATAGCTACTAACATATATTATCAAGATAAAAGAAAAAAGCACTGAGATTCACATACCTGATATACATGCCAATAAGTTCCAAATAACAGAATACATGTACATGCCATTAACAGTTCACTCATGCTCTTTTCATCATTAAGCAATACCAGCATTTCATCACCTCATGCTTCTAATTTTCGAAAACGTATTATGCGAACTGTTTCTATCGCTGTCGCTTACGATGGACGTGATCATGTGGATATTTTTGTTGCGTATAACCATGGTTCTTTTGAAACTCAAACAAGGTATTCAGTTGGCTCTTCTCCACAATCTGTAGCTATTGGTGATGTCAACAACGACACTCGACTAGATATCATTGTTGCCAATTGGTTTAGCAACGATGTGAGTGTCCTTCTTGGATATGGAAATGGCTCCTTTGAAAATCAAACAAAGTATTTAGTTGGCTCTCTGCCATCATCTGTATCTATTGGTGATTTCAACAATGACACTCGACTAGATATCGTTGTCGCCAATCAAGGTAGTAAAGATGTGAGTGTCCTTGTTGGATATGGAAACGGTTCTTTTGAAAATCAAACAAAGTATTTAGTTGGCTTTCAGCCATCATCTGTAGCTATTGGTGACGTCAACAATGACACTCGACTAGATATCGTTGTTGCCAATTGGGGGAGCGATGATGTGAGTATCCTTCTTGGATATGGAAACGGTTCTTTTGAAAATCAAACAAGATAT